AGGTTCTGCAAAACTCCTTTTTCTTTTTAGAGAGTAGGAGAGCAACTAGAAAAATAATTAAAATCCATTTCACTCGATCAGCAGCATTCAAAGAAAACGGCTTATATTTAACTGAACAATAGAAATATTGGAATGAGCAATAATCAAATTTAGCAATAATTATATTGAATGAGCAATAATTCATTTAAATTTGAGGTAAACTGTATATAAAACGGGCAATGTGGATTGATTTAGTTACACAAATAGGTATTTTTTCAATTTTATGACATAGAATACGTAATTTATACAATTGGCTCAGTCACAACACGTAACACAATATATTTCTGATTGTGAAGGGGCAGTGATATGGAACTGCAGTCTTCTAATAACAGTGAAGAGGTTAAAAAAGGCAAAAAACAAAATAGGCAAAAATAGGTTCCAATATGCACATACAACAATAAAGATGATGTTATTAATAAAATAAAAAATGATGGTATATGGAGTAAAACTCATAGCAATATAACCAGCGAAGAAAAAAGGGTTTATTATAGATATAATCAAATAAAACGACGTGGGAAACAGTGCCTGGCTACTACTCATCTTTTATATCATTGTGAAAATGAATGTGTTACAATGTATGAAACTGGAGATGATCATTTACATCAAGAACCAAAATCTACTGACATAAACGAACAATCAAAAGAAGTAATATGCGAATTGTTCAAAATGAAAGCCAAGCTAAAACGTACACTCGTAATATTAGAAGAAGAAGGTTTATCTGTTCCTAAAAAACAGTAGTTATCCAATTATTTGACATCATTAAGAGAAAAGTTGTATGGAACTTCAGCTATAGGTTTAGGTAAATTGGAAGCTTGGTGTCAATAAAATTTAATTATACCTGATGATGATGATAAACCTTGGGTATTAAAATATCAGACTGAATATGAAGATGAAATTGATGATGATAATGATGATGATGTTAATAAATTTCGATTCTCTGTTACAACTAAAATATCATTATTCAACGCAACTATTTCAAATAAAATTCATGCTGATGCTACCTACAAATTAATCTGGCAAGAATTTCCTTGTTTTATTATTGGAACAACTGATATGATCAAACAATTTCACCCATATGGATTCGCTGTATGTTCCAATGAAAAAGAAAAAGATTTTGAATTTATATTTAATTGTATTCGTGATGGCCTACATTATTTAAACTTGCAAATGAATGAACAAAAGTTAGCACTAATTGCAGATGTAGCTGAAGCTATTAGTAATGAATTTTTAAAAGTATTTGAAAAACATCATAGTATTGTTATGTGCTGGGCTCATATACGGAAACGCGTAGAAAAAAAGTTATATTTAGCAGAAGATAAAAATTTACATACTGAAATTATGGATGATATTGATACATTACAACTGTCGAAAAATAAAAAAACATTTGAAATTGCTATGCAAGACTATTCTTAAAAAAGTGCAAGAACCAAGAAATTTTTATTCAATATTTCTCAAGTGAATGGTTAGGATCAAAAAACGGTTGGTATCAAGGTTTAGCAATTTTGTTCCAAGCACAAATAATGCTCTAGAAGCAACAAATCCTGTGATAAAAGATGAAGATACAATAAGGAAACGATTAGTATTATCAAGACTTACAATTGTTCTATTTTCAATGGTCAATAAATGGTCAAATGAACGAAATCCCACTCGTGTTAATTCAAAAAAATTCGAACATCAATCATTATTAACATTATCACATTGGACCATACAACAATATATTATTTGCCTGCTAGTGAAGAAACTACAATAACAGGTAAAGAAATAAAACGGTATGAAACTTGCAGATTTAATTCCTTTGACACGTACAAGTCCGTCTATTTCAACATATGACGTGTATGTTTGTCTAACAATGCTGAAGAATGGAGAGAAGCAACTTGCACTTGCCCGTCGTTCATTAAAAATTATATTTGCAAGCACACCATTGGTATGTTCAACAGGTTATAATATTGCACACCTCTGACAGAGGCAAAAAATGTGGAAATTGGTACAAAAAGAAAAACAGGCAGGTCATCGAAAGCAATCAGGTTTTATTGACACAATGATTTATTTCATTTTTCTTTTTTTTTCTGTTCAATTATAAGTAAAAATAATTTAGTTTTTTTTTTTTTGTTGTTAAAATATGTGATTACTACTGTTAGTTAATGTGTTATTTATTGCACGTTTCATATTATAAAATTGCTCAAATAAACTTTTATTATTGCTTACAAATTATTGCTAAATCGCATTTTAATTATTGCTCATTCCAATATTTTTATTGCTCAAATAAATACAAGCCAAAGAAAACATGCTTATTTATATCAGAGCAGTAGTTACTGACGATCTTGATGATAAAAAAATACATAAGACATATCGAAAGCTCCATCTTCCAATTAAGGAGCCTTAGATCTGGCCGAAAAAGAAATTTAAGTCAAATCTGACGTATTGATCAGATGATAAACTTTTGAAGTGAGTATTTTGAAAACTCAAGTAAAAAAAATCAATGTCTTATTGGTATTTCAAAAACCTTTATTCTCAAATACGAAAAATAATTAACATTATTAGACTGCTGCAAGCTTTTGGTTTAAAATACTTTGAGTCAATAGTATCCTTCATCAGCCTACTTAGTTTTTTCTTCTGCATACCTAGCTATCTTCGTTTATACTTAAATTTTATTGTCAACCTTAGAACAAACTTAGTCAGTCACCTAACTTTTGTATCCTTATTTCTCTGGATTCTGTTATGGGTATTCAAATCTTTGTTTAAACATTTATAATAATCCATAGTCATATCTCTAAATAGTTTTCATAGAATTATGCTAATTGTTAATGATATTGATATCACTCGAACCGATGTCAACAGAATTCATTGTCATTTTACACATGTTGAACCACAACAACAATCATACATCCAAATAACATCATCTTCTCTCCATCCATTTTCAAAACGAGACAAGAATTATGTTCAATCTAAATGCTAATCTTTCGTCGGCTCCCATATCATCTTATCAATGTCCAATCCATACTGAAGCAAGTTGAAAACGAGCGTCTGTATCAAGTTCTCAAATCAATCAACATAACAACAGGTAGAAATATCTATTAGTACACGTTGTCAATATTTTTTTTTGTTCTCATTTGTATGAAGCTGGTTAATTTAAGGTATTGTTATGAAGAAGATCAATATTCATCCCTACGATAATGCTCGTGGTAAAGGTACACTGTTTTCATTTGATTTACTGGATAGTATTGACAAAGTCCGCATCATTGCACTAAACAACAACTGTAGTTGATGGTTTCCTCTCATTCAAAGTAGACAGGTTGAATAACAGAAAATGTACTCTTTTTATGTTCTGTTCTTATAATACTATTGCTGGCTATACGTTTTATATAGATCTATATATTAGACACAAGGTACTATTAAACAATTCAATCATCAAAATAATAGCAGTCTTCAAATTATGAAATACCCGTCACCCAGGAGCCTGTGATTGATGGTACTTCTATTGACGACTGTATTCATGTTCCAATATCGAGATACAAATTTTATCCAACTCAGTTATATTGTAAATCAACCAATAAATTCTATTATTGGCAAATTACAGCATATAGTTATCATTAGCTTGCAGAACGTTTTTGGGTGTGGTTGTGTGTCTCCTTGTCGGTACTAGTGAGAATATCTGTGATGATCTCAATGTACGTAGCGCGTCATGCTTCTCTTCCTCGTTCTAATCGATCACACTCATAACCACATGCTCACAATCAAACCTAAATCTTCCCATCACTACACTCACACATGTATACCCACACATCCGCATCACATACCAAAATATGAGCATACCTAACTCACATTCAAACCCCATATCTGTACCTACACCCATAGCTCACATCTGTATTCACACCTCATCCTCCACATGATAGCCACACCTGAACTCGCATCCATATTTGTGGCTGCTATGAGAGGAATTCAAATTCATCTTCGAAAGGACATTTTTTCTTTCGTTTTATTGGCTCACTAAAAGTTCTACTTCTCTTCTGTTGTCACGCAGGCTGGCTTGTGTAGCTTTTAGGAGAGAGAAGCAGGAGTGTTAAAAAACACAAGAATTAATCAGAAGAAGAAAAATAAAGTGAGAACTATTCGCGAAAGAAAAAAAAAGAGAAAGAATGGTAATTAGCCATGAAGATGGGAGAAGATATCTCTTTACATAATCCTTCAGTTTTTATATGCTATTAGTCTTGATGATATTCTAGCATATTTTTTTAAACTGGTCAACAATGCATAAATTTCTCTTTCATTGAGCAGTCTTGATCACGTTTGATGATCGAAGGAGCAAGATCTTACTCGTACGAATGATTATAGATACACTCAGTTTTGTATTCTATCACTGATCAAATTATCACAAATGACAATCAATACAATGAGAAGAATCTGTGAGTTCCTCGTAATTGAACACATTGACGTTTTATGTGAAAATCATACTATAAGTTTTGATAATGTGATTGTTGAGTTGTTTATTTTCATCGAAATTCATAACCAAGATGTGTAATAGAGAAAATGAACTGTTTTGCATTCTGATACCATTAAGAAATGTCTTCTTAAATTAAAAACCGATACTTGATACGTTCTCCTTGTTACATATATTCTGATACCATCGCTCGTTTCCTATTTCATTCACGTCTTGGATTGATGAAAACTACCTGACATTGATAAACGTATCACAAACGTGATGCGCTATGTCGTCGATCAACAATACAAATACTATCCCGTCGCTTACTCTTCTTGCTCAACAACTCAACATCGCACTAGGCTTTGTAATACTAATCACTGGTCTTGTTGGAAATCTATTGAATATTGTTATCTTTCTCAGTTTGGGTAATTTCAAGAATAATGCTTGTTCATTCTATATACTCATAAGATCATTCTTTGATCTTGTAGCACTTCTTCTTGGCGTTGGCACACGTATTCTTAGCCAAGGATTTCGTATTGATTTCACTTCGTCCAATCGGCTATGGTGCAAATTTCGGATTCCTCTTCTTGACATCGCCACTCTTTGTTCATTCAGTTGTTTATGTTTTCAATCGATGGATACGTTTTTTTGTTCATCTCGCTCGGTTTTTTTGCGACAAAAGAGTAATGTCAAAGTGGCGCAATATCTAATGATTCGATTTCTATGCATCTGGTTTCTACTCGATGTACCTTATTTCTTTTTTCAAGATTTGCTTGTAAATACGCGGTCGGGAATATACACATGTATGACTACTAATGGAACCTATGCACTTTTTCGCAGTTATTTTATTGTCGTCGGACTTTATCTTGTCATTCCTGTTATGATAATTAGTGTATTCGGTACTCTAACCTATCGACAATTACAAAAGTTAACTGTACACGAACGACGTTCGCTTTCTGCACTCACTAAACAAATGACGCGAATGATTTTATTTCAAATTATATTTGTATTGATCTTTGTTACTCCAAATGCTCTTGCAACAATTTATTTTGTTGCTACGGCTAGTATGATCAAGAGTGTCTATCGTCTAGCACAAGAAAGTGTGATTCAAGTGGTTTTCAATATCTATGGTTATGGTGCACTTTCAGTAAGCGATCTTGTTTTATGCACATAACACTATCGAGTAGATGTTGTTTCTCTTTTTAGAGTTCGTTTTACTGTTACTATATTGCATCGAAGCGCTTTCGTGAACAAGTACGGAATGTCATTCACTTGTCTCTATTGAATCAGAAAAGAAATCAAGTGGCTCCCAATCAAGGAACAAGCAGTCATTTACCTACCGCTCAACAACAAATAGGGCAAGGGTAAAACTGGAAAGGGCATCTACTTTATTTTTTCACTCCTCAACCGAGAAGTGTCAACATCATTCATGTAAAAAATGTATATAGGTTGTAATAAGAAGAAAATGATATTCTACTTCAGCTATGTTGAACTGGCATGAAGTCGCTTCACATAGATTTATAATCAAATTTTTGAGACGAGTTGAAAGAAAAAGAATGCAAATATACTCTAAGCAGGTTTTCATATCGAACATTTTGTAACTATTCAATCATTTCTTTCCAAGATTATTTTGTTCTATAGAATGTGGATGTGGGTGTGACTAGAATCAATAGCCACATATACACCTTGGTCGACCATTTGATCGCATAAGCAACAAGTGAAGTTATTCAGCCGTTGCGAATGAAAGAAAACAACTTTGTTGATCACCCGGTTACCTCAGAAGAGGTCGCTATTCTCAAACAAATGAGTTGTCACTTTCGATAACTCTCAATAATGCTTCAAAGCGAAAATTGTTTAAAACTACAGTTTCAGTTTGAAGAAAAATATAAGTGTGAGAGCATCCCGAAGAATCGAGTCCTGCTTGACGAAATTCATCGAAACTGATGTTATTCAATATAAAATCAACGTCTACATTTGAGACTAGTCTTCAGTG